AAACATTTATGACATCTTTTTAAATGAAAATTTCTAGCGCGTCCTGCCTGCTTCACTTAAGTCACTGCTTATTAAGGTTCGTCCAAAATTACCGTGGCCCACCCAAAAATGAAAACCTGGCGCCGCGCCAGTTATAAACCTCTGCAAATTGTTGTTCTTCACGTTATCAAACTCAGACTTTGTACAGCTAATATCAAGATGTAAAATTATGAATTCAGTCGAGCTCTTCCGTCCCTCCCTCTCCTGCTCTCCTGGAAACCCGACATCGGCTGTCAGAAGCGGGAGGTGAAGAAGGAGATGAGGCAAACAGAGTGAGTGCGACGTAAAGAAACCAGACTGGTGTGGAGGTGAGCAAACAGCTGGAAAAGTGTGGGTGTTGAATCCCCCACGGGTGCGACGCCCATGCGAGCGACCGGTACCGGCTGCTGTCACCTGGTTGTGAGCAGCTCTCTGCTGTCTGAGGGTAGGCCCCGCCCACAACGCTGCGGCCGCTGTGGCTCCCAGTGTTTTCTTTACTGTGGGAAATGTGTAATAATGTGTCAGGGTGCGCTGGTGAGTGGAGCGGAGGTGAGGATCCAAATGCAGGGGAGAAAGCAGGCAGGCAGACAAACTGGACAACTGAAAGGGTTTTAATGATTCACGCACGCAGGACATAGTAACAATGAAGCAACAAGAGACAAAGGACTGGAGGGGTTTAAATACAGGAGGGCTGGGAGCTTGGGTGATTGGGAAACGAGAGGCAGGTGGGAGCAATCAACAGGGACACAGGCTGAACCAAATGGAGAGACAGGACAGGGTGTGACAGTACCCCCCCCCTCAAAGGGCGGCTTCCAGAAGCCCACAGGAACACAGAACAGGGCCGGAGGAGGGGAACCCGGATGGAGGGCCGAGAGGGACAGAGCGCCCGATGATCAGGAGGCAACGACGACGACGGGCCCTTGGGGGCCTGCGCCTGGGGCAGAGGAGGAGGCGACAACGGGCTCTTGGGGCCTGCGCCTGGGGCAGAGGAGGAGGCGACGACGGGCTCTTGGGGGCCTGCGCCTGGGGCAGAGGAGGAGGCGACGACGGGCTCTTGGGGGCCTGCGCCTGGGGCAGAGGAGGAGGCGACGACGGGCTCTTGGGGGCCTGCGCCTGGGGTAGAGGAGGAGGCGATGACGGGCTCCTGGGGGCCGGCGTCTATAGCAGAGGAGCTCTGTAGACTGGGCCGGGGACATAGTCTCTGCAGGCTGGGCCGGGGACATAGTCTCTGCAGGCTGGGCCGGGGACAAAGCCCCTTGGACGGGCTGGACCGGAGACTCGTAGAAGAGCTGGACCGGATACGGGATGACCTCCAGAACCACCGTTGGCACTGGAGACGGTGGAGACGTCGGACTAGAGGGAGCGCCGACCTCTGGACAGGAGAGAGCGCCGACCTCTGGACAGGAGAGAGCGCCGACCTCTGGACAGGAGAGAGCGCCGACCTCTGGACAGGAGAGAGCATCGACCTCTGGACTGGAGAGAGCATCCTCAGACAAGGCAACTCCAGACGAGCCAACCTCAGAGGCGGCGACTTCAGAGGCGACGTCGTCAGACGAGCCGACTTCAGACGCGGCGACTTCAGAGGCGACGTCGTCAGACGAGCCGACTTCAGAGGCGACGTCGTCAGACGAGCCGACTTCAAAGTCGGCGACTTCAGAGGCGACGTCGTCAGACGAGCCGACTTCGGACGAGCCGACTTGGGAGGCGACGTCGTCGGACGAGCAGACTTGGGAGGCGACGTCGTCGGACGAGCAGACTTGGGAGGCGACGCCGTCGGACGAGCAGACTTGGGAGGCGACGTCGTCGGACGAGCAGACCTGGGAGGCGACGCCGTCGGACGAGCAGACTTGGGAGGCGACGTCGCCGGACGAGCAGACCTGGGAGGCGACGTCGTCGGACGAGCAGACCTGGGAGGCGAGGTCGTCGGACGAGCAGACCTGGGAGGCGACGTCGTCGGACGAGCAGACTTGGGAGGCGACGTCATCAGACGAGCCGACTTCAGAGGAGACGTCATCAGACGAGCCGACTTCAGAGGAGACGTCATCAGACGAGCCGACTTCAGAGGAGACGCCATCAGACGAGCCGACTTCAGAGGAGACGCCATCAGACGAGCCGACTTCAGAGGAGACGTCATCTGGACAGGCACGGGCATCGACTTCTGGACAGGCACAGGCGTCGACTTCTGGACAGGCACGGGCGTCGACTTCTGGACAGGCACGGGCGTCGACTTCTGGACAGGCACGGGCGTCGACTTCTGGACAGGCACGGGCGTCGACTTCTGGACAGGAACGGGCGTCGACTTTTGGACAGGAACGGGCGTCAAAAACAGGCACGGGCGTCGACTTCTGGACAGGCACGGGCGTCGACTTCTGGACAGGAACGGGCGTCGACTTCTGGCCCGGGGGCGTCGACCCTTGAACTGGAGGAGGCGTCGACCCCCATCGACTTCTGGTCCGGGGGCGTCGATTCCTGGTCTGGAGGCGTCGACTTCTGGTCCATCGACTTCCGAACCGTCAACCCCTGGACCGTTGACCCCTGGACCGTCAACCTCTGGTCCGGAACCGGAACCATCTGCTTCGGTGTCAGAACCGTCTGCTTCTGGGCCGGAACCGGAACCGTCTGCTTCTGGGCCAGAACCGGAACCATCTGCTTCTGGGCCCGAACCTTCTGCTTCTGGGCCGGGACCGCCTGCTTCCGGACCGGTATCATCAGTTTCTGGGCTGGAGGCAGAGCTGCTGCAGGAGGAGCTGCCTGGCCAGGCTGGACCAGAGGCGGTGCGACCTCCGGGACCACCGCTGGAACTGGATGCGGAGCGTCCACCGGGACCACTGCTGGAGCTGGCTGCGACAGAGCAGGTGGTGCTGAGAACTGTGAAAGCAGGGAGGACAGACCTTCCAGCTGACGCTCCTTAAGGCTGAGGGTCCAATGGAGCTGGGCCAGCTTAGCCCGGAGATCGGCGAGCTCCGCTGGGTGAACACCGGGCTCGCTCGTCTGGTCCTGAGATGAGGAGGATAGAGCGTCCAGGCGGGATTCCTGGAAGCTGATGAGCTGGCGGAACCGGCCAAGCTCCTCCAGGAGACTGACGAGCTCAGTCAGCTGGGCTGCGGCCAACGCTCCTCCCTCAGCAGATGACGGAGGCGCCGATTGGGTCGGAGCCGGAACTGCTGGTTTGGCCGGGGGCTTGTCCAAACTGCTGCGCAGAGCAGGGGCAGCGGCGGGCACACAACTCCATCCCGGTACACAGGACTGCGGGGCAGCCCGGCGTCTCTCCCCACGCCGTGGACCAACGCCGGGGGAGCACACAGCCAGACGGGTGCCCACGTAACTGGAGTGATCCGAACGCGTCTCTCGATCCGGTCTCTCATCAGGCGCTGGGAGGGTGGAGAGGAAGGCCGAGGGTGCACGCCGGCGCCGTCGTCCGCGGCGAGGCGGAGCTGGAGCTGGAGAAGCCAGGTGGTGGCTTGGAGCGTGCCACTGGAGCAGGTACTCCCTCGGGAGAATCTCCCCGCTGGTTCCTTCAATTGGTTGCTTCATTCTGTCAGGGTGCGCTGGTGAGTGGAGCGGAGGTGAGGATCCAAATGCAGGGGAGAAAGCAGGCAGGCAGACAAACTGGACAACTGAAAGGGTTTTAATGATTCACGCACGCAGGACATAGTAACAATGAAGCAACAAGAGACAAAGGACTGGAGGGGTTTAATACAGGAGGGCTGGGAGCTTGGGTGATTGGGAAACGAGAGGCAGGTGGGAGCAATCAACAGGGACACAGGCTGAACCAAATGGAGAGACAGGACAGGGTGTGACATAATGGCTCTTTGATGGGAACAGGTTGCCGACCCCTGGTATAAGATCTGAGCTGGTAAAAAAAAAATCCTCATCAGCAGGCTTTTTTTTAAGTGGGGGGGACACAGCTGCCAATCACAAATTTTGCCGGGGACATGTCCCCGGCGTCCCTGGTTAAAATGACGCCTATGAGCGACCATAAAAGATCTAAAACCAGAGTGAGTTTAGGTGAAGCCTACAACAGATGGACTCAAATAAAACATTTCTCATATTGGCAGCGACCCTGGCATCCCGACAGCTGGAAACATTGTTCTATTGTTTAAACTACAACCTCCAAACACTAGATGTTGCTTTGGTGTTCATGTTCAATCCTTAAGATCTGTAAATTGTCCCCAGGAGTCTGTATGTGGTTATGTGATTGACTGTCTAAGCCTTTGAAGACCTACGTTAAAGTCCCATTAATCATCATCACACACTGGTGAAATGACATCTCCTCATCTGACCCATCCCCACAGGGAGTGGTGAGCTGCAGCAGTGGCTGGGCTCGGGGATTATTTGGTGGTTTAACCCCCAATCCAACCCTTTAGTGGGGAGGCATTGGGTCCCATTTTAAAGTCTTTGGTATGACCCGACTCGGACTTGAACCCTGATTTCCTAGTCCCAACCAAAGCTCCCGAGTCAGACACTCTACCTAGGCCACTGAGAAGGTAACATCACTTGTTACTTAATTTAAATATTTATGAGTTCCGTGTTTCAAAATGTATATTGTTCATTTTTGTTCATGGTTTCACTTTTGACCATGAATTATGCTGATATTAACATTTTATACTAAAACATATTTCTACATTTATTTTAGATCCAGATTTATGCAGGCCTTTGTCACTTTGTGTACTTTGTCTGATCTATGTATTTAATCATATTTGATGCATTTCACCTTATTTAAACCGAACCAGTCTGCGTTATATAAAGTCTACTACTTTTAACATTAAGATTGTTTTTATTTACTCTAATTAAATATTTAGCTGTTTCAATTTTGTTATTTATTAAACTTAAGTGCTGACCAGCTTCTTCTGAAGGCTGATTCCTTCAAGGATTTGTGCAAAAAATCTTCCACCAAGGGGCGCTAAAGACTTTTTAGTTTTAATGAGCAGAAGGATGAGTTGCTGTTGGTGCTCGTGAAGCAGGAGACTCGCCCACTCAGAGTTCAGAGACATACACACTGCCGCTTCCTCATCGTGTTTCACACAGTTGTTGGTAATAATTTCTGTTTCACGGCTGAAGATCATGAAGATGTGGAGATTCCAGAACCTGCTGATCCTCCTGTGCAGTGAGTTTTAATCTCAGTTGATTTTTGTTTGACTGATTACTTTAATCACCTATTAGTTTATCACTAAAACAGGATTTTTTTGTTGTTGAACGTCTCAGTGAACGTTGCACCAGTTAAGAAAAAACTGATCACATCCTTTTTGTCTTTTAGAAATAAACATCTTCCTTAAAAAATAAGTCCTGCAGAAGTTCAGGTTTTCAAATAAGTTTTTAAAAGCTTTTAATTTGTGTTTTTTTTTCTCTCTTCAGCAGCTTTTAGTCGTCTGCCCCAAACAGCATCTGTGATCCAGGTGTTTGGATATGAAGGCAGAGATGTGAAGATTTCCTGCTCATATTCGTGGTGGTTTACATCCACTGAAAAGTACTTCTGTAAGGAAGACTGTGGTTACAAAGATGTTCTAATAACAGCAAAACAACAAAGAAAGAATAGATACTCCATCTCTGATGATGAGAACAAGAGAATCTTCACAGTGACCATCTCTGATCTTAAGCTTGATGACACTGGGACATACTGGTGTGGAGTCTCAAAGGAAGGACCTGATCGCTACACTGAAGTCAAGCTGAAGGTAATAAAAGGTAAAGAAAGAAGATTTTCTATTGTTCATAGAAGAAATTAATAATAACAAATCTAAACCAGGGATTAACGATACTGGCGTAAAACCGTTTTTAATCTAAATGGTGTCACTTTTTTTTTAATAATTCCTTTTTAATTAACAAACAGAAATTTCAGGAATTCTATCATTTGTAGGAATCAGAAAACTTATTGACTTCAAATCTATTTTAGGCCAACACCACAGTTTTTTATTAGAAGTGAGATTAAATAAAACCTGTTTCATATCTAAAGATGCTCTGGTTGACACAGATGTTTATCTCGTTAACAGACAGCTGCTGTGATAAAGTGACTCAAATCCAAGGTGATGAGGGCGGTTCAGTCTCCATCAGGTGTCCGTATGAGTCCAAGAAGAAAAACGTCCTGAAGTACGTCTGCAGAGGGAAGCAGCCCTCCACCTGTCTGCAGCGGGCTCTAATCA